AATATGGCGTTGAGTTGTGTCATCTGCATTCTAATATACAGTGTGTGCCTTAGCAAGGACAGTAGCTAACCACACAGGTAAACTAACTAGACAAGGCCTTAAGATCACAGAGCTAAGAAATCTAAACTCTGAATGCTAGTCTTCCAAATCTAGATTCAACATGCACTTTATTGTAATCATTATCACAATACATTTTTCTAAGAGAAAAATGCCATTTAAACCTTAGTGTTTTATTAAAAGTACATGGCTTCATCAGGTACTCTCGGCCCCTTCTCTTTGCCCTTCCGCTCCTTTTCTTGTCTTCGGATGTTAAAGCTTCATTTGCCATTGGTTAAGGGTACCTCCTCCCCATTCTCTACCGCACCCCCACCCCGGGCTACTCAACGGCCTGAACTACTTCTTGTTACCAGCCTCAGAAATTGCAGCCCAAATGAATGCTTCACAGAGTTCAAGTAACAGACATCTCAACATCAACTGTTCAGAGGAGACTGTGTGAATATAATATATAATAATAATAATATAATATGCCATTTAGCAGACGCTTTTATCCAAAGCGACTTACAGTCATGCTTGCATACATTTTTTTTTTGTGTATGGGTGGTCCCGGGGATCGAACCCACTACCTTAGCGTTATAAGCGCCGTGCTCTACCAGCTGAGCTACAGAGGACCACAGGCCTTCATGGTCGAATTGCTGCAAAGAAACCACTACTAAAGGACACCTATAAGAAGAAAATTCTTGCTTGGGCCAAGAAACATGAGCAATGGACATTAGACTGGTAGACATTTGTCATTTGGTCTGGAGTCCAAATTTGAGATTTTTAGTTCCAACCGCCGTGGCTTTGTGAGACGCTGTGTGGGAGAACAGATGATCTCCGCATGTGTATTTCCCACCGTAAAGCATGGAGGAGGAGGTGTTATGGTGTGGGGGTGCTTTGCTGGTGACACTGTCTGTGATTTATTTAGAATTCAAGGCACACTTAACCAGAATAGCTACCACAGCATTCTGCAGTGATACGCCATCCCATCTGGTTTGGGCTTAGTGGGACTATCATTTGTTTTTCAACAGGACAATGACCCAACACACCTCCAGGCTGTGTAAGGGCTATTTTACCAAGAAGGAGAGCGATGGAGCACTGCATCAGATGACCTGGCCTCCACAATCCCCCGACCTCAACCCAATTGAGATGGACCACAGAGTGAAGGAAAAGCAGCCAACAAGTGCTCAGCGTATGTGGAAACTGCTTCAAGACTGTTGGAAAAACATTCCAGGTGAAGCTGGTTGAGAGAATGCCAACAGTGTGCAAAGCTGTCATCAAGGCAAAGGGTGGCTATTTGAAGGATCTCAAATATAACATGTATTTTGATTTGTTTAACACTTTTTTGTTTACTACATGATTCCATGAGTTATTTCATTGTTTTGATGTCTTCACTATTATTCTACAATGTAGAAAAAAATTAAGAAAAACCCTGGAATGAGTAGGTGTGTCCAAACTTTTGACTGGTACTGTATATATTAATGGTATGTATCCATTGATTCTTGAAAAATAGAACTTATAAATGCCTCATGAGCTTACTTCACTGTCGAACCCCATCAGAACCCAAAATATAAAAAAGCTTGTTTTACTCCAATATTTGTAAACAAAGTAAATGTAAACGAACACTTTTTATATCATGGATGGTCAGTCCTTGCATCCATAGCTCTGTCTGTCTATATATTTGAGAGTTGTTACATTCCTCCAGCCCCATCCCTTTTAACTGAAACAGTGGCAGGGACATCCCTTGTAATTGTTTCAACCGCTGATTGCCCCTTTAAAGCAAGCTCTTAAAAATCTGATCATTTTCTGGATCTAATGTCCTACCCTGTAAAAGTCCATGACTAAAGATTGTTGTGCATGTATGATTTCTAACCTAATTGCCAGCTAAGAATGCTGTCATATTATGGGATCATTATCTGCTTGCAAAAAGAATGAAAACTGACATTGCAGTAATTTCTAATATAATAATAATAATAATAATAATAATATGCCATTTAGCAGACGCTTTTATCCAAAGCGACTTACAGTCATGCGTGCATACATTTTTTTTTTTTTTGTGTATGGGTGGTCCCGGGGATCGAACCCACTACCTTGGCGTTACAAGCGCCGTGCTCAACCAGCTGAGCTACAGAGGACCACTATATAGAGTTGAAGTTTATAGAGAAATTAACATTGAATTATCTGACAACAGCTCTGGTGGACATTCCTACAGTCAGCATACCAATTTCGTACTCCCTCAAAACGAAACATCTGTGGCATTGTTTTGTGTGACAAAACTGCACATTGTAGAGTGGCCTTTTATTGTCCCCAGCAACAGGTGCACCTGTGTAATGATCGTGCTGTTTTATCAGCTTCTTGATACGCCATACCTGTCAGGTGGATGGATTATCTTGGCAAAGGAGAAATGTTCACTAACAGGAATGTAAACAAATTTGTGCACACAATTTGAGAGAAATAAGCTTTTTGTGAGTATGGTACATTTCTGGAATCTTTTATTTCAGCTCATGAAACATGGGACCAACACTTTACATGTTGCGGTTATATTTTTGTTCAGTATACATTGGAAGAAAACTGGTAAATCTCTAAATTCAATGATATACTGCCCTCATGTGGCCATGAATTAATCCTCACTTGCAGCACTTGTGAACGGACCCAATACAAAGATTGGCACACTTAATATATTTGAACATGTCATCTATGCCATTTACAGAATTGTTTGTTACAATCTTTGAATGGTCTAAAATGCAATAGTATGTACTGAATTATCAAGTCGTTTTAATTCTTAAAGCCACATTCTGTAAGATTAACAGTAATTTCAACTAATAAAATATACCCCTAGATATTGAATAAGAAAACATTAGAAAATGAGATTAGTACAACTACAAAAAAAAATGTTTTTGCTTTTGTCATATGAGACTTTGTTAGTAATTATGTTTAGCTTAAAATCAATCATATATCAAGTCCATCCACACCAGCAAAATGTTCAACTTTTTTTTTTTAAATGACAGCTATTTGTAAAATGTTGTTCAAGTTAGTCAAATCTTATTCTTCTAAATATGTTTATGAATCAAATAGAGTAATCTATTAATCTGTGTTCCTGTGCCCAAAGACTCAACAAAAACTAAATATTAGTAAAACACAAGACATTGGTTCTTTTCCAAAGTACTTACATTTATTTGAGAAGAGATAACCACAAGGAGGTGAATACAGTACAATAGTGTCAACCTGGTGCACAACATTTTAGGCACTTTATTCTCAGGTAAAAAGATCCCGGAAACCTGTCTGACAGGGATATTAAAACTGAAAAAATACCCAGATTCTCCTAAGAAAGGAGAATTCCTAAAAATGTAAGAGAATAACAATTATTTGGTTGTCGAGTTTAGAGGTATTGGAGAGAGAATCATGTTTTGTCAAGGGGGGGGGGGCTAGTCTGTAACAAGTGTAATTTGTCAAATGAAAGAGCAAAGAAATCATTAACAGAACTCACTCTACTATTACAAAACAAATGTATTAGACATTGGAAATCACAGGTTTTCAATTAGCATATGATCAGAAACACAAACGTGAATGAAATGTATAAGGAAAGTAGCTAATCTGCTGGTGTGGTTGCTGCTTAAACTGTGGTCTAGTCTTATTTTGTGCAGACTGTTTCACCAGTCTCATGAAGCCATATGATATTATTTTGTAGGCCTATTAATTTCAACTACTAGTAGAATTTAACTAGTACCGCTTTGATCATGGGGAAAAATGTTCTGCCCGCTAAACAGTACTAAATGTGCAAAAATGACATTACTCATTAGGACGTCCAACTTGTACTACTAAAAGACACAATGCAAATTCAATTCAGTCACCCCCCCCCCTGCATTTAAAGTACTCCAAAGTTTTTTTTCCATCATTCTTTATTTCATTGATCTTCGCTTCATAATACAGTTTCTTCTTCTTTTTGTTGAGTTTAGTCACATAATTTCTCAATTTGCAGTAAGTCAGCGAGTCAGATGTGCAGCCAGACTGATTAGCCACTCCTTTTGCCCCATCTCTTTCAACCAGTTATTTTTGCATACTGAACACAAATGTGGAAACAAACCAACAATGACAAACAGTTACGAGAGCTAAAACCAACATAACTATGTTATGACTAATGCTGAAATCAAGCACTAACTTAAGATAGACATAAATAGGGTTGTGTTGCCGTAAAAAAAAGCTAAAACATCTGTCACCCCAGAAATAAAAACAGGTACAATAGTGAGCCAAACCGGGATGCATGTAGGAAATACTGTATGTAACTGCAAAAAAAAAAAAAAAAACATTTCCACAAGAAGGACCCACTTGTATACCCGTAAAACAGTTTCTATAGAATTATTTCTGAACATTAAAAAAATGTATATATGGGAATAGAACATGAATAACCAAATGCTTGGATTTATGGTATACAAATGAAGTTTCCTGACCTCATGAATGGAAGAATTAAAGGGAATTAATAAAGGGAATCAAAATACAAATTACATCACAATGTTCTCTCATACCTATGAATAGATGATGAATGTCAAAGAATTACTTATGTTACAAAGCAGATTAGTTGAATCAGAGAATATGAAATCACCTGAGGAATTTGGTACATTTCTGAATAGAAAAAAAAAAATCTATCAACAGTGCTCCCTCCAATATAATCCATTACAGTGTGCCAAGTTTTCACAGTTCAATTCCATCTGTACATACGGAGTTTAAGTCATACTTATATAATCGTATTAGAATATCTATACATACCAAAAGGTTTCAGCTTGTACCACACATTAACAGCCTCAAAAACTGTGATTCAATCATAGCTATTAGGGCATTTATGGGAATAGAAACTGCTGTAAGAATAAAGTATACTGATAAGTCATTTGAAAAATATACAACTTAACCTCTCCATTTGTGCCACTCTATAGGATGGTATTTTGGCCCATCCAGGGGCTGTGACAGCTTTAAAACGGCTTATTCCAGTCTCTGGTCGCCTCCATGAGATGCCGCTGGCCGTGGCCTATCCACTCCTCTTGGTTGTTGAAGAGTCGACCACAAAACCAACAGGCGAACATCATTGATGACCTCTCTGCACTTCTAGATAAGGACTTCACTACCTCATACTTTTTCCTGCTAGTCTTTCTAAACTTCAGTTTTAACAGAAATCGCTCTCGGACTCTGCTTTCTGAAGGCCGAAGTCTTGACCCACTGCTTTGTGACGAGGGACATTTCACCTTGGAGCTTTTCCCCAGAAGTCCAGCAGGGCTGAGTTCAGAGAGAGCTTGAACCGTTTTTTGGGACAGTGCCACCTTGGAAACAGCACCTTTGTACTTGTTAGCGGACCTCATGATACTGGCCACTTCAGGAATGTCGGCATCGGGATGGTTGAGAACCACTACCGGCTGATTTCGTCGAGGGCATTTTATCTCCTGTAGTGAACTGAATGGGTACAGTCTCAGTGTCCTCTCTGCATCTTTGGGTACAGGCACCCAGAGCGAGGTAGCCCCTTTCTCAGTCACCGCCTTGTTCGAGAGCCTCTTCACTTTAGGCAAGTGCTCTGGGAGTTCATCAAACAATGCTTTCCTGCGCCTCTTCCTTTGACTTAGCTGGCGACTTGGCCTTGGGGCAAGGGGCGATTTATTCAGACCATCTATGCCGACTTGCTGCCTGACCCTACCTTGCATGTTGGATTGGGGGGACAGAATATTTGAGAGCTTGGAGGCTGTGACAGGTTTGTGGGAGGCATTTTGTATGGGTATCAGTTTTTGCCCTCCAGTAGAGACATTATTTGATGACATCAGAAAACAGGGCATCTGTGTGGAATTTGTGGCCAGATAAATGGGCTTGTTGGCTGAGGAGTGTGCACCACCAGCAAGAAACGTGCTACCATTGGCAGTTCTGACTATCTTATAAACAACTTTATTTCCTCTACTTTCATTAGGTTGACCTTTCTGGTTCACAGACTTCCCATCAGGACTACTCAGAAGCATCCCTGACTTAGCTGGAGAGATATACCTAACCAGGAAGGCTTGGCGCCCAGTGTGCAACGCAGTTAATTTGTTCACGGAGTTCGCAGACATTGCCAGAACTGGACGGGACGTGTGTGGATTCTGAGACACTGAGCTTGCTAATTTACTACCAGCATTGTGGGGGGGCTGGGCTACAGGGACTGGCCTCTGGACTAAGTAACAAGTCTGCAGTGACTTCATGGTCTTTTCTCCAGGAGAACTATGAGCTGCGTCTGACAACAGCAGATTACCTTTAAAAGCTGTGCTGTTGACTAGGTAGTGGCTTGCACTGGTACTGGCTCCAGGCTGAATGGCAGATAACAGCGTTGCACCTTTTTCACTAGCACCTACAGTCTGTCCTGGAATGCTGAACCTTCCACCATTGAGGGTGAGTGCCAGCCCTGTGGTGTGATTCTGTCTTTCAATTCCTGGCTTAACATAGGACACATTGATCTGAGGAGCAGAGGATTTGGTTATCAGCTTGAACCCTGGGTTGCCTTGGAGCTGCACAGGTACAGCAAACCGGTTCTCTGCAGTCTGTAAGAACATCTGTTGCTTTCCCTCTGCTGTTTTAAGGATCCTTAGCATTGTCTTAGGTGGCGTGACAGAATCTTGGCTAGCAGCTGAGCAGCCTATTCTATCTTTCTCAAGCTGGTGGCTAATGATAGCATCTGAATGCTCCTCCAGTATGCGACCCAAGACGGCCAAACTACTTATGCTCCCTGTTGCCCTTTCTGACACAGGAACACTCTCCTCCTCCATGTTTACTGTAGTTTGGACTTGGTGTGTAGACCCAGAGTGTCCATGATTATCTTCCTCAGTTGCCACTGGGGTGGCCAGATCCTCTACAGTAGCTATGCACTCATCGACCTCAATGTCACTGTCTGACACTCTTTCCATTGCAGTCTCAGTCTCTTTTGCAGTCTCCACTTCCCCATTTCCAGATCCCTCATCTGGAGGTTGTGGGGATGCAGCCAATGTCAAGCTCCATTCAGGTGACTCTTTCATCCAAACACTTTCATCCGCTGTCGAAAGCTCGGACGGATGTTCACAAGGTTGTGTTGAGTTGGAGGAAATGCTTGATGTTTCCTTTGAGTAATTATGAAAACTGAACACCTCCTGGTTGGGAGTATTCAGATTTTCAGCATTAGTATCAGTCTCTTTGGAGTTGTCAGATTCAGATGGGTGTGACTCCAGTTGGGGCGTCAGATCTGGGGATAAAGTTGCAGTTTTAGTCTTAGTAGCTACACAGGAATTAATCTTATCGGTAGTAGAAGCAGAAGGATCCATCTCCTTGATAATTGAAGGATTATTTTCAACAGTATAATCAGAAGGTAGGACGTCACCAGTCATGGGTTCTGAGGGAGTCTCCTTAGGTTTGTCATTGGAGGGTAGCGTCTCTCCATTGGACACAGGGGAATTTTCAGTGATGGGGTCACTGATCTTATCATCTGTAGCTGTACTCAGGTCACCAACTCCAAGCATGCTGATAGTTTCTTCAGAGACTGGTTTGGGAAGCATGGTCTTATAAGCTGATTCAGAGGGCATGGTCTTATCTGTGAGCATTTTGTCTGGAACGACCTCCATAGCAGTCACATTAGGGCTTGAATAAGCAGACATTTTGTCTCCCAACTCAGAATCATTCAGCTGATTAGCAATTGATGATGTATTGTTATTTAGTTTACCGTTCTGAATCGTGGAGTGAACTGACTCTTTGGTCATTGGCGAAACTGCCAAGGAAATAATCTGTTCATCCTTAAATTTATGTTGTTCATCACTCCTCTGCTGCTCTGTGTGTTTTGCTTTCGGTGCTATTGTCTGTGCTAGTTTCTCTAGTATGGGAAACGTCTCCTCAATGCTAATGTCCTCTTCCTCTGGCTTCACTTGTACTGAAATTGCAGCATCTCGATCAGTCCCTGAGGGGCTTAGAACAGTCAAGTAAGGGAAGAATGTACTTGAATTTTCCCAATTTTCAGCCAAATCTGAGCATTTATTTCCATCGGAGGTAGCGTCTATCATTGGGCAGCCTATCTCTTGCGCTCTACATAACATTTTATTTTCTGCAGAAGACTCAGGCTTTGCTGTTGGTATAACTTTGAGAACTAAATGCTTTTTGCCGTCGACCATCTTGAACCCCATTACTTTTGTAGTACAGTTAGGTGGAATAGAGATTTTATTTTTTACCATGAGAACAGTTAATCCATTGGAGTTGTTGGGGTTTAGGGCGTCAGCCCCGTAACTGTCATCACTTTCCTGGGACTTAGGTGGTGGTATAGATGATACAGCCTGGGAGTCAAATTGTTGCTCATTCTTAAGAGTGCCTTTGACCCGCTTCTTACAGTCCTTTTTCACGCCCACAGCCCTTTCAAGGAACTGCTGGGTTTCCTCCAATGTTTTCTCAGGGTTCAACAACCTTCCATTTTGGTCAAGTAAACCTACTCCAGGAAGAGAATTCAGTTTGGACATCCACTGGGATTCCTTTGATTGACCACCTGCAGCAGGGCTTTTCTTCAGCAGGAGTTTTAATCCTGAAGAAGAGTTTGCCAGGGTATTGTTGCTGTCCTCCGTTGCTCTCCATATATTTTTCTTGTCAGCATCCTCACCATGGACAGTTACCATGTGCTTTGTGAGGTATTCTCTCCGTGCTGCCCCATATCCACAGACCTGACATGTGAAGGGGAAGGTACCCGAGTGGAGTTTTAGGTGCCTCTGGTGCTCACCTCGGCTAGAGCTCACATGTTGACATTTCACACATTTGAGCAGGCTCTCATTGTGATGATGGATGTGCTGCACAAATGTCCCTGCGTCAACTGTTGAGAACTCACATTTTTCACAGTGAAAGTGGCCATTTTGGCTGTGAGACATGATATAGTGTCTAGTGAGCAGGAGGAGAGAGTACTGTACATCATCATTACAGATCTCGCATGTGACTAAAGTGTTCCTGTGCCCAATCCGATGGCGCTGAAGTGCGGGGAACTCATTGGTGACAAAGCCACACAAGTCACATGGATACGTCGGCAGGGTCCCCTTGTGGGCCCCCTGAAAATGTTTGAGGAGGTCATTGGGGCTGTAGGTAGCATCACCCTTACACTCTGAACACCCAAAGCTAAGTATTTTTCCAGAGAAGACTGCACCTTGCTGTATTTTACATGGGGACTTAGATGCTTTTCTGGATGTCTTGCGACAACCTGACTCTTCAACAGATGTTTCATCAGGGTCACATTGGTCACTACATGGCAACCCCGGAGATTGATCTGACTTCTGGCCGGTGTGGTCCTTTGCCAATTCCTTTTCTTCCTCAGCCTCCATGATGTCGTCATGGCTTTCAGCAGGATCATCCAATGTCATCAGGTCCTCTTCCATGCTTCAATATACAGGCTCCTATGAACAAGAGAAGAGTGTCAAACATGCTATCTAGCTGCACAAGACCATTTTTTCTCACCACGGAACCCACTTTTGATTAAACAGTCAGTCAATCACAACTTGGGAATTCTGACTAACCTTGCAAATCAGGCATTGATGTCAATGGAGAAATTATGTGACGCATCAAATCAGAACTTTAGTCACCTGACACATTTGAACAAGAAATTGAATTCAGGTTTGTGGGCGAAAATAAAGGGGTACAGTGAGGGAAAAAAGTATGATCCCCTGCTGATTTTGTACGTTTGCCCACTGACAAAGACATGATCAGTCTATAATTTTAATGGTAGGTTTATTTGAACAGTGAGAGACAGAATAACAAAAAAATCCAGAAAAACGCATGTCAAAAATGTTATAAATGTATTTGCATTTTAATGAGGGAAATAAGTATTTGACCCCTCTGTAAAACATTACTTAGTACTTGGTGGCAAAACCGTTGTTGGCAATCACAGAGGTCAGACGTTTCTTGTAGTTGGCCACCAGGTTTGCACACATCTCAGGAGGGATTTTTGTCCCACTGCTCTTTGCAGATCTTCTCCAAGTCATTAAGGTTTCGAGGCTGACGTTTGGCAACTCGAACCTTCAGCTCCCTCCACAGATGTTCTATGGGATTAAGGTCTGGAGACTCGCTAGGCCACTCCCGGACCTTAATGTGCTTCTTCTTGAGCCACTCCTTTGTTGCCTTGGCCGTGTGTTTTGGGTCATTGTCATGCTGGAATACCCATCCACGACCCATTTTCAATGCCCTGGCTGAGGGAAGGAGGTTCTCACCCAAGATTTGACGGTACATGGCCCCGTCCATCGGCCCTTTGATGCGGTGAAGTTGTCCTGTCCCCTTAGCAGAAAAACACCCCCAAAGCATAATGTTTCCACCTCCATGTTTGACGGTGGGGATGGTGTTCTTGGGGTCATAGGCAGCATTCCTCCTCCTCCAAACACGGCAAGTTGAGTTGATGCCAAAGAGCTTGATTTTGGTCTCATCTGACCACAACACTTTCACCCAGTTCTCCTCTGAATCATTCAGATGTTCATTGGCAAACTTCAGACGGGCCTGTATATGTGCTTTCTTGAGCAGGGGGACCTTGCGGGCGCTGCAGGATTTCAGTCCTTCACGGCGTAGTGTGTTACCAATTGTTTTCTTGGTGACTATGGTCCCAGCTGCCTTGAGATCATTGACAAGATCCTCCCGTGTAGTTCTGGGCTGATTCCTCACCGTTCTCATGATCATTGCAACTCCACGAGGTGAGATCTTGCATGGAGCCCCAGGCCGAGGTAGATTGACAGTTATTTTGTGTTTCTTCCATTTGCGAATAATCGCACCAACTGTTATCACCTTTTTACCGAGCTGCTTGGCGATGGTCTTGTAGCCCATTCCAGCCTTTTGTAGGTCTACAATCTTGTCCCTGACATCCTTGGAGAGCTCTTTGGTCTTGGCCATGGTGGAGAGTTTGGAATCTGATTGATTGATTGCTTCTGTGGACAGGTGTCTTTTATACAAGTAACAAGCTGAGATTAGGAGCACTCCCTTTAAGAGTGTGCTCCTAATCTCAGCTCATTACCTGTATAAAAGACACCTGGGAGCCAGACATCTTTCTGATTGAGAGGGGGTCAAATACTTAGTTCCCTCATTAAAATGCAAATCAATTTATAACATTTTTGACATGCGTTATTCTGGATTTTTTTGTTGTTATTCTGTCTCTCACTGTTCAAATAAACCTACCATTCAAATTATAGACTGATCATTTCTTTGTCAGTGGGCAAACGTACAAATTCAACAGGGGACCAAATACTTTTTTCCCCTCACTGTATTTATTCTTAAATCCCATGACCCACTATGGCAGGGATCATCAACCAGATTCAGCCGCGGGCCAATTTTTCTTGTGTAGACTGAAAACAGATGTAATATTTGACTAAAACAATCATTTCAAACCTTGCTTGCATTTGTATACGATCACATACACTAGTATGTGGACACTCCTTCAAATTAGTGGACTCCGCTATTTCAGTCACACCCGTTGCTGACAGGTGTATAAAATCGAGCACACAGCCATGCAATCTCCATAGACAAATATTGGCAGTGCAGAACTCAGTGACTTTCAATGTGGCACCGTCATAGGATGCCACCTTTCCAACAGGTCAGTTCGTCAAATTTATGCACTGCTAGAGCTGCCCGTCAACTGTAAGTGCTGTTATTGTGAATTGGAAACGTCTAGGAGCAACAACAGCTCAGCCGCGAAGTGGTAGGCCACACAAGCTCACAGAACGGGACAGCCAAGTGCTGAAGCACGTAGTGCGTAAATATTGTATGTCCTCGGTTGCAACACTCACTACCAAGTTCCAAACTGCCTCCTGAAGCAACGTCAGCACAATAATTGTTCGTCAAGAGCTTCATGAAATGGGTTTCTATGGCCGAGCAGCCGCACACAAGCCTAAGATCACCATGCGCAATGCCAAGCATTGGCTGGAGTGGTGTAAAGCGCACCGCCATTGGACTCTGGAGCAGTGGAAACGTGTTCTCTGGAGTGATGAATCACACTTCACCATCTGGAATTCCGACGGACAAATCTGGGTTTGGTGGATGCCAGGAGAACGCTACCTGCACAAAGCAAGGTCCATACAGAAATGGTTTGTCGAGATCGGTGTGGAAGAACTTTACTGGCCTGCACAGAGCCCTGACCTACACCCCATCAAACACCTTTGGGATGAATTGGAACGCCGACTGCAAGCCAGGCCTAATCGCCCAACATCAGTGCCCGGCCTCACTAATGCTCTCGTGGCTGAATGGAAGCAAGTCCCCACAGCAATGTTCCAATATTTAGTGGAAAGCCTTCCCAGAAGAGTGGAGGCTATTATAGCAGCAAAGGGGGAACCAACTCCATATTAAATGGCCATGATTTTAGAATGAGATGTTGGACGAGCAGTGTATTTCTCTATTATGCATGGGAATCCTTTGGAACATATTTCCAAAATGTTTATCACTTGGAGCTGATTTTCTGGTGTTTTTACAGTCTTTTATGTCCAACAACAAAAAAATATATACTTTAAATGTTTTGCTCAGAAAACTTGGGTGGGCTAAATAAAATAACCCTTGGTCCAAATTCGGCCCGCTGGCCGCCAGATGGGGAACCCAGGTCTATGGAATCTATTCAATTTAATGTGTTATTTGTTACAGAATTACTAACTGACAAGTAGAGTGTCTTGATGTTACTGCTGTTCTTGTATTGGTCCTCGGGCGGTTGCGGTGACTGTATTACCGCCACACCGGCAGTCACGAGTCATGAAGGCAGTCAAATTCCACATTACCGTTTAGTCACAGTAATTAGGCTTCTCCAAGCTCTGATGCTGCTGCTGGTCATTAGTAGCCTACCAAACTTGCTAACTGCCTGGTACTCAGCAATCTATTGTCCCTCTAATCACTCTGACATCAATGCAAATGTAATCGAAAATCTAATCAAACACACCATGAGAGCCCATAAACTCATGTTGAACAACATTTCTATAGGCTACGCAATGGTGGAAGAACAACTTAAGTTACATTAATAACTCTAAATGAAGCATATAGCAGTACCTATTTCTTTGTTAACCGCTCAACACAGAATAGCCGCATGTGCGCACTCCCTCAAATCGTTTGGAGAAAATATTTATATTTTATTCAGCTTTGTTCAATTGTATTCTTCATACTATAAAATAATGCCACGGAATTATAAGCAAATCTTGTCTGCTAATAGAACTAGTGTAGCCCACAGCCATTTGGCATAGCCACATCAGAACCTAACATAAGGACAACTCAGAGTATGCTATTATTTTATTCTGAAATAGACTACATTTTCTTTAATATGCCATTTAGCAGACGCTTTTATCCAAAGCGACTTACAGTCATGCGTGCATACATTTCTTCATGTTATGCCTCTTTAGACCCGTCTAAAATAAATAATGGGTTCATTGTGAAGGTGTAGGCTATATTATATGGATTTATTAGACTTTTTAAAATGGCTTGTAGGCCATGTGTGTAAGCCAGGAGATGCTAAATGTGTTTATGTTAATTAACGGTCAATTACAGTGAGACCGACAGTTATTTGCTTGAGAATCACCGGCTGACGAAATTTCATGAGTGCCACAGCCCTAATTGGTCCGGTTCTGACCTACAATCTTCTTTGAATCACCCAATAGAATAATGTTCAGTGGAAGGGGGGTTTACAGGGTACCAACCTCCTAGTGTAGTGCCCCTGTAAGCCCCGCCCCCGAACATTATCTACAGGATTTTGTCTCGCCTTTTCTTTTTATATTGCTTTGGTTGTATCCATTTGTTTACAATGTGTTTTTTTTATGTTAAGAGGCTCATCATCCATCTGATACAATTGTCTACATGTACAATTTTGCTTCACAATAAAACATTTGAAACATGATAATGTTCAGTGGATTTGAGAGAACACATTACTGGAGGGAATATGGAAGGGATGTTTAATATTGACTTTGGCTGTAGCTGATTACCCCAGTTTTTAGTGAATGTTTTACTAATTTAGTATTTGGTCATTTACACAATTTTTCAAAAAGACCATAATAACATTACAACTCATATTACTTTGCTGGTAGGCCTATTACTTAACCCTTCACACTCGTACCCGTATACAGTGCATTCAGAAAGTATTCAGACACTTTGACACTCTCCACATTTTGTGACGCTACAGCCTTATTCTAAAATGGATTAAAAAATAAATTGTAATCGATCTATACACAATACCCCATAATGACAAAGCACAAACAGTTATTATTTTGAAAATGTTGTTTAAAAAAACTGAAATATCACATTTACATAAGTATTCAGACCCTTTATTCAGTACTTTGTTGAAGCACCTTTCGCAGCAATTACAGCCTTGAGTCTTCTTGAGTATGACGCTACAAGCTTGGCACACATGTATTTGGAGAGTTTCTCATAGCAAAGG